TAAATGTAAAGATAGGTTGTGGACTTGGCTAAATGTAAACAAAAGGGTTAATGACCTAATAAAATGTAAACAAAGGGGTCATTGACCTCGGCAAAATGTAAACAAACAGGTCATTGACCTCATAATGTAAACAAAGGGGTCATTGACCCCATAAAATGTAAACAAAAGGTTCAGTGAACCCAAATGTAAACAAAGGTTGTGGACTTTGCTAAAAAGGTTGTTGACTTGGCTAAATGTAAAGATAGGTTGTGGACTTGGCTAAATGTAAACAAAAGGGTTAATGACCTAATAAAATGTAAACAAAGGGGTCATTGACCTCGGCAAAATGTAAACAAACAGGTCATTGACCTCATAATGTAAACAAAGGGGTCATTGACCCTATAAAATGTAAACAAAAGGGTCATTGAACCCAAATGTAAACAAAGGTTGTGGACTTTGCTAAATGTAAACAAAGGTTGTTGACTTGGCTAAATGTAAACAAAGGTTGTGGACTTGGCTAAATGTAAACAAAAAGGTTAATGACCTAATAAAATGTAAACAAAGGGGTCATTGACCTCGGCAAAATGTAAACAACCAGGTCATTGACCTTATAATATAAACAAAGGGGTCATTGACCCCACAAAATGTAAACAAAAGGGTCAGTGAACCCAAATGTAAACAAAGCTTGTGGACTTTGCTAAAAAGGTTGTGGACTTTGCTAAATGTATACAAAGGTTGTTGACTTTGCTAAATGCAAACATAGGTTGTGGACTCGGCTAAATGTAAACAAGGCTTGTGGACTTGGCTAATTGTAAACAAAAATGCCAATTTGCAGAGGGTTTTGCAATAAAAGATATCCTCATGAATCACATCATTAATTTTAATATGTTTATTTAACCGGAAAATAAATAATTTTATTAATTAACACATTTTTCACAAAAGAGTTCTACGTACTACTACACTGACTGTTGATTTTTGTGGCACTCTAACTGGTCTTAATACTAAATCGCAAGCTTGAGTGAAGAACAACGCTTGCTCTTGCACAAAGAAAATGTTATTCCGCAACTGCGGGGATTCTTTGGCTAGCGTTCGAAGTGCTCACATTTATTGAGACTCACTTTGTGCATTGATATGTGTATTTATATGTGTGCTATAATGTTTTCAGTCTTCCACGAAAAAATTGTCTTTCTTATCAGTTGAATGCTATTGGGATTTACTTCAAAGCATGAATATTTTTTACACCTACATGCACACATATAAGTATATATCGATATATATGCATGCAAATTTAAGATTGATAGTAGCTGTGTCTGCAAAAAATCCCCTTCTTCGAAAAATTTTTGGTTGATCGAACTTCGGTGTAAAATACAAAGATTGCGAAATATAGATTTTGCTAGCGAATATACATACGTACGAATACACGTTCATTTATTGATCTAAAATGATGATGACAAAATAATGTTAACATTTAACAAATTTATGAATTAAATGTAAGAACTTGAATATATAATATAATGTATATGTTTCTAATTTCTGTTGATAAGTCAAGTTAAATAAAAGTTGCCTAAAAGATAACTACCATCCAGAAAAAATCGCAGTTCGTTTAATCCACTCCTTCCAACTTTATCCCATACAGAAATGAAGGTCGGTGGTTTCCGCTCATATAAACGCCATCTGCTGCACTCAAATTTTTGCTCCCGACCTTATATCATCTTCCGACCAACTTTTTGTGCACCTCTCACTTTACGAGATGCTTTCAAAACCCCACTTTTGGGTTTCTACCGAAATTTCGTTTCTAAATAGACTTGAATGAGTATTTACGTCTGATGACAGTCATATCTTAAGTAAAACTTCAATTATTTTATAACCAATAACGAACTGGATTTTTTATAAAAGCGAGTGAGAGGTAAGATCAAGTTTATGTTATACTTCTCATAACAGTAATTTATCCTAAATGGTTAATAAAGTGAAATGGTACGGGAAAGAAAAAACAAACATTGAGCAAGACAACTGAAAGCAGGAAAAGAAGTAGACATTAATCTATTATATAACTATAATGTTATAAAGTAATAAAATTTTCTATATTATAATAGCCATCAGGTGCTCGTACAATATTAGATGGCTCAAAATTGATCTCATTCATACATTTCATTAGACTTCGTTTAGTCTAAGTCGTCTTAAGTTAACGCTTATTATTCAAGGCAATAGTAGTAGCTTTGTCTACATTTTGCACAAAAGTAAGAGAACGATCTCATGTTTGGTAGAGATTGAAAATATTTAGGTTAGAATTTTTTCAAACAAATTTAAATCCTTTAAATTTTTTAACATAGTAAAAGTGATCGTCCTTTTCGATATTTTTTTCTTGTCAATAAATATCAAAAGACATACACTTGCATATACTTGTAGAAATTTTGCCTAGGAAGCCCCGTGAAATCGTCACAGATAAGAAACCAAGCACGTCTCAACCAACACACTAACAGCTGCGGGCACAATCGTACATATATGGTAGATGTATGCTCACAGCTTTCGTATTTCGGGGATCTTCTCTACAGCAAAAAGCCACGAGATCTAAAAGATAAGCGAAATGCGAACAATTCTATTCCAGCTCCGGAATCGCATAAATGCACGCTGCAGCGCTCAGCAAAGCATCAGTTAACACACAGCAATCAACTAGCGGTGATCAGCTCCCAAGTCTAATCTTCGCAAATTCTCAATTTTCAAAAAAAGTTATTACAATGAAGCTCTACTTGCTCGCCTTGGTCGCTGCAGTTACATTCAGCGCCTACGTAGAAGCTCATCCACAACGAGCAGGTGCACAAACTTTGATCTACTATCCGCGAACGACACCCCCACCACGTCCCATCTTCGCGCGTGTGGCACGTGATGTTGGTGTTGGCGGCTCGTTGGCGAGTAATCCACGTGGTGGCGCCGATGCACGCTTAGACATTGCCAAGGCAATTGGCAATCCTAACCACAATTTGATTGCTGGTGCTTTTGCTGCTGGAAACACCGATTAATTATAAGATTCTTTGGTGCAAACAATTATGTGGTTAACTTGAAAAATATTTATTCAATAAAAAGTTAAGCAACTAAATTTCATTAATGTTTTTTTATAAATACTTGCTAGGCAGAGTGGCTGTCTTTCGACACACCTAGGCCTTTAGGAGGCCCATTGTGATACGATAAGGAAATAAAATTTATTTTAGCTTAAACACCGGTCCGTTGTGGTACCTAAGACTCCTATAGAATGATAGATAGATGATAAGATCTTTACAAATCGACAAAGCGCTTTGAGCCTATCTCAAATTTGTTGAGATTACTAATGTCAGTTTCGGCTATGTCTATTGGTTAGCCGAAGGTAAGACTGCCGAGTAGTTTCAACCTCAGTCTCGTAAAGGCTGAACAATGCAGGAGTAAGTGCCTGGCTGTTTATCGTGAGGCTTATATGCAGGATTTATCCTTGTCTTACTAAAAAATTGGCGAAGTTGGTTTTGTCCTCTAGCTCTGCAGCGAAAGCTATTTTGTTTTATAGGTTAGAACTGCATAAATATGGTCGGTGCATTTATTTATCTCTCTGAAAAATTTTTTTTAGTACTCTCATTCCACCTTTTGTTTCATCAGCTACAGTTTTATAAATAATAATAAATGGTGCATTACTTACATATAAAGGGAATCCTGATATAATTTTGTGAGCATTGTTTTATGACTTAAGCTATTGCCTAGACTTCGTACAAAATGCAATCTTCAAATATTAATCAAGTTATGCTCACCATTATTGTGGCTATAGATAAGTCTTGTTTTCTGTTTGCAGATCTCTTGTCTAGCCTATAGTAGTCATAAGTGGTTCCAGATAAGAATTTAGTGTTATGGAAAAATTAGTTCGCATTACTATATGTTTTCACAGTGACAAGTTCTCAATAATGCATTCTTTAAACAGCAAAATAAGTCTGTTAGAAAACCAATCCATATTTTATACTAACAGCTAAGCAAACGGGTTTCTTTCTCATGAAGCTGTTTTAAAATTTGAAGGGCCTGTTATAGTATTAGTTAAAACTTAAAAGTAATTATCGCTAGGTTTTAGGATATTTTTAATTTGTTCTTCCGAATCACACAGGCCGCGCATCACCTACTCTGTAAATGTTCTTGTGTCCTAGCTTGTAGAGATGGCTACCGTAGCTGATTAGGAACATCGAACAAGTTTCTAAAAGCTACTACTTTCCGACTAAAAGGCAAGATGGAGCTACAAACAGAAGGTTCTTCAGTTTTCGAAACATTTGTAAAGGGATGATTAATTTGTGTAGGAAACTCGTTACTTCCAGAAATACACTTTTTATGCAAACTTTTTTGCAACTTGAATGACAAGCTCTAAATCGTTATTCGTCAGGATTTATTTTCTGTCGTATATGCTTTCATAAACTAAATAAGAAAACTTTAAAGTTTACTTTTTGTATTAAATTTTATTTGATAATAAATTATTTTTCCAAACGCGCAATAAATTTTAAAACTTTAGATTTCAATTACTTAAAAATATTTTTTAAACAAATCATGAAGCATATGAGTTTTCCCCTTTCTCTTGCTACCGCACACTGCATTTTCATTTGCGTTTAGCCAAACATATGAGTCAACCCCAAGCCGGCGCTGAAGTCCTTCTGTCCGCTCAGCGGTCCACTCAACCACTTCGAACCGCTGCCAGTCAAGTCCAAACGCGTATTACGATCGGGAGATGACCACAAATTCGCCTTAGCGCCCAACTCCAATTGTCTGCCGAAGTTCGGTATATTGCTGTGGGTCAAGCTGGCGCCATGACCATTGATGTGCGAATACTCCAAGCCGGCGCCATTGCGTTCGAACTTGAAACCATTCGCCAATTTGTTCTGCGAGGCAAAGGCGTTGGCATCCACGCTATGCGCGCCATTATTGAATAGATTCGCATTGACGCTCTGACTGAAGCTGTCGCGTACGCCGGGTATGTGTGTCTTCGAGATGGCAGCGCCCAAGCCATGACTGCGTAGCAAATGCATAAATACAATTATTGAGAATTCTTTTTAAAAAAAATATAATTACAATCTCTACTCACTTGTTGTAAGCCAAGCCGCCACCAGTAGCAACGGGTCCGCCGTTCGTATTGCCCGCAGCGAATACTTTGCCAATCACATTGTGGTCCGGTGTACCAATGCCCTTCGCCAATTCCAGTCTTGCATCGGCACCGCCGTTCGGATTGCTACTCAACGAGCCACCCAGCGATTGCGGATATGCGGCGACGAGTGCGCCAAAAAGCGCCAAAGCGAGCATGATGGTTGCATAGAATTTCATGTTGTTGTAGTTTTTGAAGCTGCGCTTGTTGCGTGTTTCGCTGTTTGAGCTTTAGTTTGAATGTGTTCTGTCTGAGCATGATCGATTGCTTTTATAGCGCAGCGCGCGTCAGAACTTTTCTGCGCTTATCGTCGTTTGTACTGTTACGTTGCTGGCGCTCAGGGAACCCCATTGCTCACAGCGAACTCTAGCAACAGCTTTTTTTACGAGCTCTATATTTGAAATTGAAGAATGCTGAAGTGTGTTTTTTTTTTGTTTTGATTTTTTGTCTTGGGTATTTACACGTTCGTTTGGCTTGTGTTTTGTATATTACTTATTCAGAAGAATTTGTTATCAATTTTTCTGACTCTTTAATTAATATTTTCCGCACAATTATTTTTGTGTTATTTTTATGTGGAAATTTTTCAAAACCCCCGAAATATTTTTTCAAATTAATCATTATTATTTGTATACCGTAATATGATAAACCCGCCGTACCATGTGATAAACAGAGCGCAGAACTGTAGCCGAACCTGCAACCATCCTGAATTTACAAGGCGTAAGTTGAGCCCGGATTTTTATGCGGCCAAAGACTGTAGTATGCCTTCAATTTAGATTAGAATTTTTTTCTGTCATTACAACAGCAACAAAGGTAATGTCTCTTGGTCTTAAAATAGTGCTAACTAGTATTTTTTAATACGTTAAAAAGCTGTTACATAATAGTTTTAGAGGTTATCTAGGTCCTGCTGGTGGTGAGCAAGCTAGGTAGTGCCTTCGAAGTCATCTAACGGAGATCCAGGATGCAAATTTCGTTGCGGTCAGCCCAAACGGAAAAGCGTGTAAAAAAGTTTAATCAAAACACTTCTATAGTTTTATTGCATTTATTTTTCCGCCGTTAATAAGAAAAATATTTATATTGAATAGAAATTATTTGTAAGCATTTTGTTTAAAGAAAGTCATTTTATTGTTTAACTAACGATATAATTTCAGTGTTGCAGCAGAATGAAACAAAAATAAACAAAACTTATTAACAAAAAATTATTAATCTAAAGCAATGTATAATAAGAGAGAATTCGCTTAATTCTGTTTTATTGCAGGAATATAAGTTATCGCTCGAAATTTTACTCATTTTCGTTTTGCTAATAAACAGCAATGATTTGCATTTTTGTTTTTGTTGTTGTTACAATTGTGTTAGTGGCTAAATCGAATACAATAAATGTGTGCCAATCATGCGCAGCAAACATTTTAAGTTATTCTCTTTTTTTTTTTATTAAGTAAATATATATTTTGTTGATCCGCCTATCTTGCATACAAAAAACTAGCAAATATTTTATATAAATCGTTTACTGTATTTTTTTTGAGATTTGCACTATTACTTTTATACTACAAGTGCAAACTTGCTGCTTTAACTACGTTCAATTCTGTCACCAATTCGTATAGAAGCAACGGTTGTTAAACGGTTTGGTTGAGTGTGCGGTATACAATTACAATGAGCTTGATTGCAATTATGTTGCTAGGGCCAATAATACAATATAAATTTAACAGAAATTTTTTTTTTATAAAATGAGAAAAATTATTTTAAATTTTTTTTTTTTTTATAATTATATATTGATTAGAAACGGTTTGTCTATCTATGACAACTTCTTGGCCTTCTGGTAAAGTGTGTCCACTACTTTGCCCATGCTGTGTATAGTCTCCAAAACACGTTCGTAGGTTTTATCCACGGGTGTCTCTTCAAAAACGATAAGTACACCTTCGCCTTGATCCAAAATGCCGCTGAATTTTTTGTCCAGAATCATTTGCGATAATTTCTTCTCGACTTGTGGCATGGGCAATTTAATGCATTCGGCAACATGAGAAACCTTTAAAAATGAAACGATAAGTTGTAAATATTGTTACGAGTACTTTTGATTAACTGCATACCTGGACTCTCGAATATGGTTCAATGATGCGGCACAAATTCTGCTCCAACATAGTGTCATACAGCGTGCCCAAATGCGCTTTTACAATTACATCCTCGGACAATTCCTTTTTATAGTCTTTCAAAGCTTCCTGGAAATCGGCAAGTGAACGTTTGTGTGAAGCTTCAGCGACAGCCTTCATGGCGTCAATGTCACGACCCGAGTAAGTGATTGCCTGCAAAATTAGTAGTAATGTAATAAAAATATGCAAAGCAAACGAAATTACAAGTGCATTAATTTTTTAGGCTTACCAATTTACCGCTCACAATCTGATTCACATCTTCGGATTGACCCAACATAATTTTGCACAACAACATGTATTTTAAACCTGTTAAAGCTTTCGCATTATCCACACTATCGAAGCTCTCGAACGCTTCGTAGAAGTAGGAGAAAGCTGTTTTAAAATCACGCTCATCGGCGGCGTGTAAAATACCGGATTGCAAATCGAGAGCACCCTGAACCTTTGGCGGACAGTATATCGCATTGGCAGTTGTGCGTGCAGATGTTAGTGCCGCTCTTGCTTTCGGTAAATTGCTAAGTGCATGATAAGTTTTACTCTCCAGCAATTGCACCTCAACCAAAAGGTTCTTGTCATCCAATTTCTTTAATTCACGTAGCAATTGCGAACCGAGTGCCAATGCATCTGTATATAGACCGGTATCGAAAAATAGCGCAATCAGACGCGCCTCCAATGACTGACGTAAGAATGTGCGTTTTTCTTGTTTTGCCCATTCAATGCAGTCTTTACATAATTGCACCTAAAGATAAGTATTATTTTTACAATTAAGTTAAACATATAAATTACATTATATATAGGTTTATAAACACACCTCTATACCAGTGCCAGCATCCATGTCTAAAAACATATCAACTAGCGTGCGCACCATTTTGGCAGCCTTTGCTTTACTTATCAAGCTGAGAAACGGTCGCGTCACCTTGATCAAATCAGCCAATTCCTTGGCCTTGCCTTCCTGCTTGTATAGCTCGCCAAGTTGCAGGATGCCCTGCTCCTTTAAACGAATTAGCTCCTCATCGTTTTCAGCTACCTCTTGTTCACGTACAATTTTATTTAATAAAGTAATACCCTCTTCCCGATTCACGCTTGTAAGGGCTTGAGCGCGTTCAAACAACGTTGCTCCGGCCATTTTTCTGCTGCTGCAAATAAGTTATTACAATACACCCAAATATTAGTTGTAGTTTTATGCGTACTCGATATATTTGCTCTGTATTAATCGCTTTAGACAATTTATTTATTGGAAATATCGAGATAAAATGTCTGAAAAATTCTGTTGAGAATTAGTTGAAAATTACTTTTTCGTTTTTCGCTTTGGTCTGAGTGGCAAAACAATGACAGTTCACGAACCGCCAGTCATGCAGCAACGCAGCCAACTGCTGAGCGAAGTGCTGCCCATCAAAACAAAATTGAGGAATTAAGAAGGCTGGTGCAGATGGTTCAAATATAATAATAATTTGCTATTTATAAAATAACCATAGAAACAGCACCAAATTATAAAATAGATCGTATCAATATTATAAAAATAAGTATTGCATTGTATCAACAAAAGCAAAAATAAACCAACCTGCGAAAATTTTACTAAATGCTTGGAATTTTTATGCTTTGCAACACTGCTCGTATTGTTTTGTTTTTGGAGTCCTCCAGACATGTAGCTGTCAAATTTATCCTAATATACCATTTTTTAGTTTTCGCAAAATTCATTGTTAAAAATAATAGTACTACAGCAAAATGCTAAATAATTATCGATAACGACAATACAAAAAAAAAAACATTTTTTAATCAAAAAATTACTGCAAAGACCTCCGTACAGCAAAACTGATTAGTGCTATGGTTGAGGAAACAACACAAAGCACCCGGCCGCGCATGAAGACAGCACGACCCAAGTCGGTATGTCTATGGTCGGTAACCGATGTAAGGAAATGGTATATGCGCCACTGTGGAGAGTATCAACAATATCTCGAGCTCTTTTCAAAGGTACATATTATAATTTAAAGATTACTAGGAACAATTAAAGAGTTAAACTTACTTAAAGTCGACGCTCTGTTGACAAACGCTTGCTATTCTGGCTGTCATTGCGCTGTTTATTCCGCTTATATTACTTCCAATCCTTAATCGTTTCCGTTTTAATATGTTAAACTATTTTGACACCTTGTACGGACTTTTTGCTTTATAATAGTAGCTAATGACTGCATTCACGCTTGGATTTGATTAAACAAGTTTATTATATGTGAGTGAAGCAATGACAATTAATTTTAAATTGTAAAAATCAAAATGAATAGCTTGTTTTTCTTTTTACTACAACAGTGTTTTGTACAAACTTTATTTGCATATGGTTGATACTTTACCAATAAATAAATGGCTTTCATTTTCAGCATGAAATTACCGGCCGGGCTCTGCTTCGCATCAATGATTATTCACTGCAAAGGATGGGCATCAGTGACAGCGCTGATCGTGAGGCAATTTTCCGTGAGATATTAAAACAACGACTCAAAACTGATATTATGGAAATACGTGATATGGAGCGTGAGATCAATACCTACTATAATACAAGATAAACAAACAAGGCATACAGGGTATTAGGGAAATCATAGGTTAATTAAGTGAAAAATGCAGAGCTATGCACAATTTTAAGACGAAAACATTTTGATACATCATACATACATACGTACTTTAAAAGAAGCAGACTTTTCAGCAAATCCAAACGCACATCAATATTCAGCTAAGCCAGTTGTAAAATTGTCTGATTAGCGTCTAACATAATTTAGTAGTCAAATGTTAGTGAAAGAAAATAATTATAGACTATATATATGTATATATATAGAATGAGTATATTGTTCATAAAGTTTATTGTTTCTTTGACGATGATGCAAATTGTTAAAATAGTAGAGCTGCTTTTTATTTTGTATTGCTATAATACATACATTTTTGCATTTTACAAATTTGCAAAAAAATTACAAAGAAAAATTGTATTTAAGACAATTAACTGAAACACCACATAGCAATAATGTGAACGGTATTAAACGTAGTTTACGAATATAGATATTGTGAAATTATATGCTTAAAATTATATTATTAACTCATTGACTTTCATAATGATTAGTAGACCAATTGCACAATATTTCCAATTGTTAGGCAACAAAAGACGTGTAAAAATGCATTATATTTTTTAATTTAATATTAAAACTACTGTAATATAGTTTAAAATATAAATTTCTGCTTTCATAGTTTGCTATCTGTTAAAAGATATATTTATAAATTAAAATTTTACGCACTTACGATTTTATGCACATAAAAAATATAAGTTATTTGAAAGTTTGCCTAATAAATTATAACTAATTTATGAAATATTTTACAAATTTTATAAATTACTAAAAAATATATAAATTTTAGGTAATACATTGTTAATTTATTGCAAAAATATATAAATTAATATTTTTCGAACAAAAAGCAATTAAATGAGTATTGAAATTACAATTGTTAAACAAATTTATAGTGTGCAAATATACACATAATTTTTGCAAATAATTGCTATGCATTTTTAATTCATATATAATATTTATTAATACATGCATATGTATGCATATGTATATACGTACAATTTTCAATTTTGCGCCCAATATTATTAATACTAATTCCGCCTGTGTGTTCAAATTACATTTGTAGCATTTTCAGGCTTTCAAATATCAATATGCGCATATTTTCCATACACATAACTGTAAATTTTATTTAATAATACACAAATTGCAAATTTGTGCCATTTTTATGTCCTCGACATTAATTTTTTTGTTTTAAAAAAATTTCACTAACGTTTGTTGCACTTTATTTGGAGAGCGTGAGTATTTTTCGTATGCGCATTAAAAGCACCTCAGTCCTCCCGCTCCGTTTTCGGTGTCACTAGCTGTGCATCAACGCTTTGCGCATTCGTAGTCACCTCGGCAGCTGGCACCGTCACGGTGAGCGGAGTTTGTGCTATGACCGCCGTTGGTGCCGGCGCCAGTTTGGGCAAAGCGTTGGTCGCCAGCTTTGTCGGTGTCAGTATGGTCGTACCGCCAGTCACGCCCGCTATGCTTGTGCCGCCAGGCACTGCGGTCGTGAAGACCAATTTTGGTGGATTAAGACGCATTTGTTGTGTGTGTGCCTGCATTGCGGCAGCAACTTGTTGTTGTTGCTGTTGCAGCACTTGCGTCTGCTGTTGTTGTTGCTGCTGCTGTTGTGTGAATAGTTTCGGTAGTTCGGCAAAGAAACGTTCTACGGCAGAACGCTCGAAATCCAAGCGCTCACGTTCCAGCGCCAACCGCTGCTGTTGTATTTCATTGTTCTCCGTTTGTGCATTGTATACGTGACGCAACAGTATACGCATGCTAGCTGCCTCCTTGCGCGATAGCAATTCCTCGCGTCGCTGCTTGTCGTGCAGCTGCTTTTGCTGGCGCTTATTGGCGGCCTTGGCTTTGGCTTCCTCGACTTTCTTGAGTAGTTGTTGCTGTTTCTGTTGTTGTTCCTTTTGTAGCTGCTGTGCCTGCTGCTCCTGTTGCTGTTGCTGCTGCTGCTGCTGTTGCAATTGCTGTTGTTGCTGCGCCTGCTGTTGTTGCTGTTGCTTTTGTTGTTGTTGCTGCTGTTGTAGTAAAGCAGCATTTAATTGCGGCAACAAGGTCTTACTCAAAGTCGTGTTTGTGGCACCCATTTGTGCCGCCGCCTGATCAGCATTGACCAGCAGTAGCTTCATGCCACCCGGACCGGTAGCCACAAAGCCTGCACTGGTAGGCGTACCCTGTGCGCCGCCTACACCCGTGGTACCGCTGAGCAAAATGCGTCCGGGCTGCAATGTGCCGCTGGCATTTAATGCATTCGGCAACAGTTGAATTTGTGACTGATGAAGTGGCATCAGTGGCGTTGGTGCTGGCGCTGGTGCTATGGGTGTCGTGGCGTTTGGTGTTGTTGGTGTTGTTGACTTGGGTTGCATAAGGAAGTTTGTGGGTACCAAAGAGATTTTGCCCTGCGGCGTCGTTTGTAGACTGGACGTGGTTGTGGTTGATGCTTTAGACGCGTTGGCGGCGCTGGAAACAATCGTCATGGGACTTGAGACAGGTATAATAAGGTTCGACGAGTTGTCGCCCAAACGTTCGATTAGTGTGGGCATAGTGGTTTTTTGCGTTGCAATGACCCCGTTTTCTTCCTCGGCATCCACATCGATGGGTTCCTCTTTGATTAGTGTGCTAGCCGCAGTGGTGGTCGCCTCGGCGTTCTGCTTTTGTAGCTGACTTAGTTTAGACTTTTCACCATCCGTCGATTTACGTTTAACAGCTTTGCACAAGGGAAACTCTTCGCTATCCATGCTGTCATTTTCCTCCTTAATTTGCACTTCTCCCATATCATTGCTATCGGTGCTTCGCGTGTCGGCGATATGCTCCTCCCCATATTCATTACACAACTCCATACTGCCGTCGCTGGCTTTCGATATCTTGCGTCGTTTGGTTGCCGACAGCGGTTTAACGGTCTTCTCCGCCGCACTAGCAATGGCCGCAAAAGCCTCATCGTTAATATCCACCTCCACATCGGGTATTATGCCATCGTCAATGTCGTGTTTCGTGGCATTTCCATTACTCAACGCCACCAACTCATCCAGTCCGTCATCACTTTCAGACACAGTACCGCCTATAAGAATATAGATCATTTAAAAAGGTCTTTGCATAAAAATTATCACCGGCTACGCTTTACCTTCATCCAAAATTTTCTGTCTACGCTCCTCGCGCTCCTCACGCGCTTTCTCCAACTGATATTTGAGCGAAGGTGGTGGCACCTCATTTGGTCGCACACTAAAGATTGGCCGCTTCATAATTGCATCCATTTCCGCATAATGCTTCCAGGTGGGCTCAGCCGCCGATGCCAAGCCCGATTCGATTTCTTTCTTCAAACGATTGTAAAAACATTTAAGATTCTTGACACGTGTGCTTATCTCTTCCGGCGAGCGATAGTAACCGTATTGCTGCATCTTTGCGGCGAGATCGCAGAGCACCGCATGCTTTTTGTGCGCTATAATAAGTGTGCGCTGCACTTTCGGATCACCCCACAATTGTATGAGCAGTTTCGTTTCGTCTGTATCGAAGTTAGGATTACGTCCGATACTGCAAGCTTTCTTTGAGCCCGATATGCTGTTGAGTACGCGATTGGTGGATACCCATTGCTCACCGGAACGACGCTTCAACTTTAAGCGTGCACTGCTTTTCTGGCTCATATTCGTTGGCGCCTAAAAACCACGTTAGTAGCTGAAATTGGCACAAACAATAAAAAATATTTAAAAATCATATATAGACCTTCGTTTCGAGAGATTTTGACACTCTCTCTTAATTTTGTACTCGTTCGACATTAGTTTTTATGTTTCGACTATATTTCTCCCAAGTATAATCCAAGCGCAATGGTTGAGCGTCTGAACCGTCTTTCATACGACAGTCGGATCTAAGTAACCGGAACGAACACCGGTTTTTATCCGGCCAAGGACTGTCAACTCGACACCAATGCTCGAAATTACTTCAGTAATGTTTTCTGTACCCGTTGATTTCAGTATTTCTTAATCATAAGATTTGTATGCTCCCAAAAACATGCTTGTACATATATTAATTGTTTAATTAGTGCATCAGCTCGAAAAAGTATATGTAATGTTAGATTAAAGTCGCCATAAGATTAACAATATTTTTTTCGTATCCAGTAATAACCTCAAATTCTGAATTTCAGTTCTGTAGAATAATTTCCACCTAGCCGAAAAGTATAGCACATTGTACTGAAAAGTCTCAACATGTTGAAAACTGTTTTATAAAACGAAAAATTGTAATTGCACAAGAAAGAAAGCTAAAAAGCATAGCATACACTCAGGCGCTGCTCACTATATTTTAGTCATAACTTTGCTAATTTTAGAGTTACTCGTATTTGTGTGAAAAATACGTGCTTTACCATAAACCTTGTATGCTTGTAATGTAAAGTATTTAAGAAAATTGTGTTAACGGGAAAAAATCGTAGCATAACCACAGGCGCTGAGTACATTATGTTTCGATTTCTAGCATTGGTAAGGAAGCTTTGTATTAGAATTCAGGAAAAATGTGGCTTACATGTACAGGATATCAAAATTAACAACACATGCTGACTTTGCTTACGTATTACCTCGATTCCTTATCTATATATGTACGTATGTAGTCTTTTAGCTTCTAACCTGCCTCACCTAACCTTTGAATCGATTTGGTGGAAAACACACCTCAATCCACTAACAAATGAGCGTGTAATGAAATGAACACGGTAAATGAAAATTAAGTTCATAAACTGCATATTTTGATTTCACTTTTCAAATCTATTTTTTTATTTGAAAAACCTCTAAGTTAGTTGTTTTTTATGCTCTACAAAAACCCACAATATACAAATTTTTATCTTAAATAGTACAAAAGTTATAGTCGTTTTTGTAAAAAAAAGATTTTCCACGTGTATTAGTTATATTTTGGCTAATCCTAATCCCTATCCTAAACACTGATCTGCAGCAAATCTGAAAAGTAAATTATAGAAAAAATATGTTTTTAACTAGTAGTAGTTTAACCACTCTACCAAGGTACTCAACTTTTACTATGCCCAATTTTCACAAAGCTCACATTCATACATACATATAAATATATGTTTGCATGCGCGCAACCTCCTGCCTAAACGCCGGCACATGGCAGCTACTTAATCGGCACCAGACACTCAACCCCCTACATATTTATATATATGTATATATTATAGGTGCGTAAAACTCACAGCAAATAATCAAACAAATAAAGCCTAAATGTATGCTTCAAAAACAGCCTAAATGTATGCTTGTGGAAGAACACACACAAATTGATACATAACAGAACTACACAAAATTTATACGAAACTAATTTACAGATCAATAATATTCCAACTCTGGTTTGTGTGAGTGTGTGTGTGTGTATGTGTGCAACTCCAAATTTGTAATAAATCAATTATACTCGAGCACACTCGCGTTTGTTAAGCCAAATTTGTGCATTTGCCACACACCTGTCCTGTATATAACCGGTTTGACGCGCGTCTTGACGCTCAACTCCTCTGTGTCCTACTAAACGCGGGCGAGTCGTCAAAAGTGACGCACCAAGATTGTTGTACCGTGGACCGTTGAGCGCTACGGCGGCTAAGGCACAACAGCGCAACTCCGTGGCGTACAACGTGCGATAAACGAGTGCAAGCACACACACACACACATGCATGCAAAGTGAAAAAATAAATGTTCAAAACGAAAACTGTGAAGGACGTGAAAATATCAAGCAACCCCTAGACAGCAACAATAAGCCATCAAACTAGCAAAAGTGCACTTGGCCAGCCTAACCTCCCTCCAGTAGCACAAATGTGTGTGTGTGTGTGTATGTGTATATAAATATAAATAATATTCAGCTGAGCTCGTTGCTCAGCAGTCGTCCACTTATGTAGCTTGCGCTCACTCACTCGATTCGCTTCGGCTGTTCGCCTCCGTAAGCTGGTGTATGTGTATGTATTTGTTTTGATAATCGGCTCACACAGCAGCACTACTTAAGCACACTTTCAGGCGTTTATCCTTGCTGCTACAATTTTCGCCCGTTTATTACATCGATGTGTGCGCGCACGTTTATTTTATTTAATTATTATTTCTTGATTGTTTTGTTGTTTTTATTTTTGTTCCTTCTAATTTGCACCACAACACTTTAGTTCCGTACGCGCCGCCGACTCTCTTGCAACTGAACGGCACTTCGTTTCGTTCGTTTTCGTTGAGCTAGTGCAGCGCATGCATTGCAAAAGGGGGGGGGGTGGTGGTAGGTGGTTGTGCTCGTTGGTTACTTGGTGGGTTTGCTCGCCGCTTCGTGGCTAGCTGAGTAGCTGGTTTGTTTTTGTGTTTAAGTCTGCTGTTCTGTATATTTTGTGTTGTGCGCAGCCTGACATGCGCAGTGGCAACACGAAACATTGTACTTATTGAATTTGTTGTTGCGCCTACTGCTCCTTACGACATTTTTATTGATTAATCGCAAAAGGAATTTTATGTAAATTTCATATATTGAATATTTTTTTGCAATATTAAGAAAGTTTTGAAGACACCTATACATATTTTAATGAATTTAAATAAATATAAATCATACTCATACATAACGGTACATTGATTTCAAGTAAACTTAACGAATTTTCTGTTTAATCCACATAATCACGTTTTCAAAATATTTATACCCTATACTGGGTATATAAAGTTTGCAACGAAGTTTATAACCAGCAGCAGTAAACAATCGAGACGCTATAAAATGTATATATAAATGATCAGCGTGACGAGCTGAGTCGATTTAGCCATGTCCACCTGACCGTCTATACATACCATATGCGAACTAGTCACTCAGTTTATGAGGTATCGATCTGAAATTTCGCGTACGTTCTTTTCTTCTAAAGAAGCACCTCATATGTAAGAGTCGCCGTTATCGGACCACTATAGCATATAGCTGCCATATAAATTGACCCAACCAAATCATGTTCTTGTATGGAAAATTTTTTTATTTGACGAGATATCTTCACAAAATTTTGCACGGCTTATTATCCAAAGCTACGATACAGTCTCCGAACTAATTATTCAGATCGCACTACTATAGCATATAGCTGCCATACAAACTGACCAAACAAAATCAAGCTTTTTAATGGAAACTTTTTTATTTGTGCGTAATATTATAGCTTCGGTGCAGCCGTTGTTAACGGATTTTGATTGGGTACGATTGCCTCATCGTAAAACGATTATGTGAATATACGTCAGTAATTTCGATCATGAAAACATGTACCAACTAGATCATCCTATTCTTATGTTTAATATCCTATGCGATGTTATTTGTCTTGCTCGTTCTTTTAATTGATGTTTTTACCAAAATGCTAGAGCGCTTTTGGACTCGGGTGCCTTAGAGATATTTTTAACATTTTTTTTCTTTCCGTGGGTCTTGCTGATTTTGATTAACCAAAATAACAAAGATTCGAAAACATTCTGCGGTTTAGATAAGAGAAAATCTCTGGATAATACGCTTTCTATATTACGTCAGCATTGGAGTCATTTATCAATTATATACCCAAAACAGTGGACCCAATCATTTTTTGAATTATTCAATTAGTTCATTCAATGTTGCGGAAGCGTCATAAAAATGAGCTGTATGGAGACTTCTTAAAACTTTTGGATTCTTTTAGGGATAGTACACCTCTGTATTTGCAAATATATTCATACCATACATACATATCTATGTATAAATACAAATGTTTTTTTTATCCACTGAACTAACCATCATCTACATTTTTACAATTTAAAACAAATGCAATATCTTAATGTACATACATACATATATATTAAATATCCATAATCACTTTGCTTTAATACATTCAAGTCATCGCACTTAAAAATAAATTAGAAATCCTACACATACATATGTACATATGTATTTACCAAATCAAGTTTCCCACCGTCTCCAACACCTTTCTGCAAAAACAAATGCAAAAATGTTAAAGATGAGAATATAAATTAAGTCAAGGGTAGTTTATGTGACAACATTAACTCAGCAACGCGCTCACCACCTCCGCGGTGCCTACCAAATTGTTACAGCGGCACTAGCGAAATCAACAGCAACAACAATAACAATGACTGTCTCATATGAAAAAGCGAAGCAGCAGCCATAAATCTATAAATTTGCGTCTTTATACAACCATAAATACATAAATATAAATATCTACTGACATATGTACAAACAAGTAGCCAGTCCGTCAGTAATCACAAATCTGCGCATAACATTTTGCTGCACATGCGCGGTAGTCAGATTCTCATCGTTGGGCATTGGCTTGTACTTTTTCGTATTTGTAGCGAACATACATATTATTCCTTTCCGGCCAACATGCGCTCATGCCTTGCAATAGACATTGTTCAGCTACTACCCCTTCCGAAAAATAAAAAAACAAATGCTGTTGGTTTGCGCGTGATATTGGAAAATAAGGCAGCATACATACATATATGTTTATGTACTTGCATAGGGGTGACGGCTACTGCATGCGGGTATGTGTTTGTACTTTTTGTTGTATCAGGCTTTGAAGTCCTTTCTCCGGCTACTGTGCATGTGCATTTACTTAGCCAGTAAATTTATTTGCTCACTGAAGTGTTTGCTCGGCATGCAGGTGAAAGAAAATGCACAGATTTAGAGGTTTTAAACGGTAATATATGTACATATATGCGTTGATAAGCAAAAGCGCAAATTATGCCAAGTTGATTTCTTGTTTGAATATGGATTTCAATATCAATAAAAGTGTTTAAAAATCATAAAATGGTATTATGGCAGCATTTTTGGATATTTTTTACGATATTCACATGTTATATATTTATATTATGCATATGCGAGCTCGTACATGTTATAGAACTTTAAATTATTAAACAAAATGTGGCAGAGGTTTTATTTGATTGCAAATGGTCATTTCATTCCATTGTGCTTTAAGAACAATATTTTCATGTTAGCAACTTACACGTGACAATTGAGCAAACTCTCTCAAATTCTTGGTGTTCTAATTATTTAAGAAATCAAACGTCGCTTCTATAATTTAAATATATTTAATAGAATTCACTTGCAAAAATACATAAACATACATAATCTGACAATAAAACAGAACATTTAAATTCTAACGGTATTCTATCCGCTCATAAATCTATTACATTTCTGCGCTTAACAGTATAGCCAACTGAATCAACCAGCTGAACAATTTGACATTTCACTTTGACAATTGCTTGACAGCAAAAATAATTCTGTTCGGTGAAATTGCTGCGCTTCAAAGTGTGCACAAAAACGAAAACAATCCGCAATAATGCCCGAAATATCAGCAGCTGAGAAGGAATTCCTGCGTCGCAAACATGAGCAGACAACAAAGTTGCGTGCCGAATATTTGAAACAAGCATCAAACCCGCACAGACATGCGACAGGCGAAGGTGGCACTTTGGTAAATATATTGTCTGACGCGCTGTTATGTCATCAATAGTCTAACCGATTTATTAAAACAATAATATTGCATTTGGTTACAGTTCGATGCCGGTTTGGCGCGTTTTCAAGCGATGCGTGTCTCCAACTATGAACACTTCCGGCCTACCGGGACAGCCTTCCGTACTGGTATGTTCGCCGTAGTGCTGCCAATTGTTGTCTATGCTTGGGCGTTGAAAACAGAACGCGATGGTCGGGAACAGAAATACCGCACAGGTCAGGTGGCCTATAAGGATCGTCAATTCAAATTCATTTAAATTTCTTTTCGAAGAAAAGCGCATAACAAATGGCTTGTGGCAAAGTTGTAGCCATATTAAAAAATATGTGCATATGCTTTTATTAATGAATAAACATAGTCTTATTAAAATGAACATAAAATTGCGATTAATAAAATCTATTTATCTTCCAGTTGTTTGTCGCGTGCAATAACATTGTCCTCGAATTTGACCATGTATGTAGTGCCTTTATGCCAATGAGCCGTCACTTTGCAAGGCTGTGAACAGAAAAATATACATAAATAATATAGGTCACATGAAAGTTAAACTATTTTTATGCTTACAAATCCTGAATTCTTTAGCACTGCCTCCACAATACCAGCTGTAAAATTGGCACAATTAAGTGTGCTCTTATCTTTAGGTACACTTATAAACGTATTGACCATTGGTTCCTTTTCGATAATATAATAAGTGCATTCATCGTCATTTGCATGTTCGAGCTTTTCAGCCTCTTTGCCAAATAAATTCTTCCATACTGTTGTTTTTACAAATAACAGCATTTGTGTTAACTTTGTTTCACGTTTGCCATTGCGTTCACGCATAAAATACAAATCAATAATCCGTGTGCCCACATCTTGGCCAAGGGCATGCAATCTATTGTAAAAAAAAAAATATAAAATAAAAACAATATGATCCTTGTAGGTGAACGCACCTGTTTTGTAGCTCCTGCACTGTGCTCACTTGACTTTGACAATATTGCACGATTTCACTGAAAAGTAGCGCTACTATGCTTTGCGATACCTCGCCTTTACCTTTAGATAGTGGTCGATCAAGTATATTTGTGCGTGGACGCATTGATGATATTTTCAGAGCCTCCAGTTTTTCCATTGCCAACGAGATTTCAATAAAATGCAGCGAAATATAAAAATTATTATTTTTTGTTACTTTTACCTGTAGTAACCACAGTATAACAGTTATAATAGAAATGCAATTGTTTTGTTGACTGTTAAACAGCTGATTGAGCAGAGCTGCCAAGTTTTGACAGCAGACAATACTGCCACTTTTAAACAAAACTGGACGGAAATAACAACAAATATATTAGAAAAGAACTATTATTTTTTAATGGTTTGTTAGTACCTTGTCAATGAGCAACAGATATTCTACTGCACGAACAATAAAATTTATAACTTAAGTACTGCTTTAGTCAGAATTAATATTTCCTCTATAACGTGAAGGCTTGACAGTTCACAAGACAGGCGTGTGACCGGAAGTATATGTATATGCCGTTACCTTAGCAGCATTTGGTAATATCCTAATATATACTCTAGCCATTTTGATAGCTCCAGAATGCTACTTTTACCAATGTGTTACCACTTTAGTAAAACACAAGTTCAAATTTTGTTTTTGTTCATTAGATTTTATTAAATTTTTATTATTTGCATTTTGCTTCAATGCACGTATTATAGTTTAATGGCATTTCCACCATTTGAAATATTTATTTTTGTGTTTCCATATTTCAATTAAGAAGATGCCATTATTGTAACTAATACAGTTTACACACTTATTAAAAACATTTAATTCCGCGGGTTTCCTCAATAAACTGGAATGTCGTCTCTTCTTGCCGAAGATATACATATGTACATATATACCAATAAATAGCTGTACATTAATATATCTCAAGCACTTGTAGCGGATCTTTAGTTTTATTCATCAGCAGTTATATTTCACCTTCCTGATATTTTACTAACTGTTCAGGTTTTTTCTTTTAAATTTTACATATTAAAAAATTCACATAAATAATTGTATAAACATTTCAATAAGAATTATGTAACAATTGTTAATAGTAATAATTATACTAATCAATAGTTAAAAGTAGTGCGTAAAAAGTTTGTCCACGCAAATATTTGAATCAACAACAAAAAATACTTGTATTGTATAACAAATATTAGAATTTCCATTATAGATCAACATTAAAAATATGATATTGTGAATATTAATAACATTTAATAATAAGGCAAACAAAAATTAATTTACTTTTGACAATTTGTGTGTATTTGTATTTTATACCTGAATGTGGTGATGAACTGGTCTGTGCTACGATTTTGGGTTTATTTATTAACCCTTTCCAAAGTAATACGTTGAAAATGTGACATTTATAATACTTTGCGAAATATCGAATTCTCGTAAACCGCCGGTGAAAGTTAATTGGGACTTTACGTGTTGTATGTATTTTTACAGCACCTGTTTTTTCATTGCTAGGCCTGCTATCCCCTCAAATCACACCATATACCATATGTAATTATTTCAGTGACAATTCTGCTGTTCTATTGCCTTGCGGAGACCGGTATTCATTAAAACAGTGTTGTTGTTTTTTTCGGAGCATGTAGTATCCATCTATCTTGTATAAGCCTGTTTTATATTAGTAACACATTACAATATATTTTTGTTTAAATTTCTTGCTTAAATATGCTGCATTTGTTGCTATGTTGCACAACCTCATTTTTATATTAGTTTTTATTTGCTTAATTGCATTTATTATTACATGCCAGTTACTCGCACTCTATTTCTTGGCCGTTATTGTGCCCGGATTCAAAATGTTGCCACATCTATGTTAAATTCATGCACATTTTTATTACATATTTAAATATTTCTTTATTATTTTAGACACGTTTTATGCATATATTTTTTATATTTACTTAAATACAACAATAATAATAATAATAAACACAGTAATTTTAAGTAATAATCAGAATTATTATTTAGTAGCATAATAAATTGTTTTGATTTTTTTTTTAATTTACCTCAAAACAAAAGTTAGAAAAGTTCATATGAAATAAACGTTTTACAATGCTCATGCACATACAATACATTATTATGAGTTTTAATTTAATTTATTTTTTTAGTTTTCTGAATACAATTTCTGTTTTGTTTTTGTTTTAAATAATTACTCTGGCTGGTTCTTTGCAATATTTCAATACATACATTTAGTTAGATACCCATGTACTTTTTCCAGAATTGTTTTTTGTAATTTTACAATAAGTAGGTATACAATAGTAATGTTATGTTAATATAGTAGCTGCATATTTTACCACTTACATACATGTTTTTCAACATTTACTTATTAATAGAAGTATGAGTTTTTTATATTTATTCTGAATAAACACTTAAGCAAAGCCTAAAAGTCAAATGATAATTTTCACAATTTCTCATTTGACTGCTGACTTTAACGGTACTTTTTTAATTTTTTTATTTTTGTTACTTTATTACGCGTCTATGCAATTGTCGCGCCGCTATTTACTAACCTCAAAGCACATGTAACGCCATTTTACCTGTTTTTTGTTTATTTTTTTAATGAACAGTTAATTGTGAAATAGCAATTTTCGTTAATATATGTATGTCTATTATTCAAAATATTTAATGCATTTAATTGGAAAATATATGTATGTATACATATGACATTTTGCTAAACAAAATTGCCGTTACTATTAAAAAAAATGGGTGTGCGTGTTTTTAAATTAACAAAAGAAATAATTTTGAGTCTTCATGAGCCCTAAGAAGAGTCAAAATTATTCTTTTACACAAAAATTAATTAAATATTTATTTTGTTATTTCATTTCGTTTTAAGTTTTCTTAATGCAACTAAGGGATGGCAAAACGCGCGTTACGTTTCTTAGTAGTTGTTCGAAAAAAGCTTTGCGTACATTGCAAATATGCGCGAAATACTAAATAGTTATACTTTTTTTTCTTTTTTTGTACACATTAAATTTTATAATGGAATTTCATGTAGTTTTCTACTTTTTCCTTCCAATATTTGTTTGTAAGAATTTTACAACTTTTTCAAAGTATTTCTTGTTTGCTGCATTTCCTTTTCTTTAAAGGTTCAATGAGCCATGCTTTTACCTCATTTGCGTGAATAGTTTTTTTTTTTCTTTTCATTATACAATAATATTTTTGTACGCAGAATTTCTCATAATTTATTTTGTAAAATAGTAGCGCTGACTTCACTATTTTGGTTTTAATGGATTTTGTTTTTCATAAGCAGCCGGTTGGAAATCTTCAATTTTCACCGACTACAGCGTGTTGCCATATATTTAATTTCTAATAATTTATTGTAGAGTAGAGCACATTACAAATTTGTAGCCTTCTGAAGCTTTAAAGGTTACAGTTGAATTGTTTGCGTTGGCTATCAAATGAGTATTGTGCTCATATCTAAAATAATATAATTTTTTTGGGAAGATACAGTTATTTTGTTAAAAAAAAAAGAATAATGTAATAAGTATTAACGCCAATTGTCAAGGTAACAAAAGTACAACACTATTGTACAGATGATTACTAAACGAAAAATAAATATATTCAATATTAAGTTGAAATAAATATATATATTTATTATTAAGTTAGAAAAAATTATTAGATTGCTATTAAATTTTTATTCCTTTAAAAAAATAAACTAATAAAACAAAACATACTAATTTTTGTACCTTTTATGTCACATTCATTTCTCTCTTTACAAATTTTTTGAACGCTTCTTTTAGGCAATTCTTTATTACGAAAAATTTTGTTCACGTAATTTTATTTGCTTTAGCATTTTTCAATTCTCATTTTACGAAACGCATTTTTAAGATTTGACAGCAGCTTTCTAGCTTATTTTATGCGTTAACGCCATTTATTTACTTTTATTTTTACTTGTACTATTAGATTTGAATATTTGCTTTAGTAATACTGTGCACGCTGCTCATAAAAAACTTCGGTAAACTTAAACATACTATATATTAGAGCAAACAATTATAAGTGGCACATTTGTATTAACATTAATTAAAATAAACGAAGCATCTATAGCCAATGAAAGATACAGAAATGTGTATTTTACACGTAAAATATGTAAAATCAAAAAAAAATAAAAATTAAATTAAATTAAAACAAACGTCGTCATCATAAATGAACGCCGCAATGTTTACCGTTAGATAAATATTTACAACTTAACATTAGATTTCAAGTCACACGCTTAAAAATAAAATGTCTTAACTAATTTAGAAACTGTACATAAAACACCAGTTTTTACACTATATAAATATATGTATCACTTAAAAAGATTAATCAACGCATATAAAAAAAAAATATTTATGCGAAAAGACAGTGCAGGCTGTTCTTAAGTAGAGAATATAAGTTTTGAACTTATCAGCTTTTGTGTGAATTGTTGAATTGTTAGCGTTTAAGCATGTGGTTAAAAATACTAGAATGTATTATATATGGCCTCACAGATTTAATATATATATACAAAAAAAAAACAAAAATAGATGATAAAAGTGATTTGCGCGAAAAAATTAACTTAAGCAATTTATATGATATATAAGTGTAAATGTTTCGAAATCCAAATTTAAGCAACAAATCATAAAACATATATGATTTCACTTTGTGCCAAAATCAAAAGTTCTAAAAAAATATATGAAGCGTATTAATTTAGAAAAGCAAACGCCCATAGTCATTTTGTTGTGCTGTGGGTCGTGCTTGTTGCAGGGCATAATGTATTGGCGTTTGGAGTTGTTGTTGTTGCTTAATTTTTTTCTTCTTTTCCTTCTTTTGTTGTTTCAAACGCTGCTTGTTGATTTTCTCCTGTTCCTTAGCTATTATGGCGTCATCGCTAAGGTGCCATTGTTCGAATTGTTGTGTTAATGTGCCACTAGCGCTTGTTGGCTGTTGCCTTTGTGGTTGTTTTGGTTGCACTTTCTGTGGCTGTTGTTGTTTATATTGGTTGTAGTTATTGTAATTGTAGCTATAATTATTGTAATTATATTTTTTATAGTTGCAATAGTTGTAGTTGTAATTGTAGCTATCGTAGTGATCATCCAAATCGCCAATGCCGTTGCCATCGTAATCATAACTGTCTGAATTCATAGCATCCTCGTAACCGTAAACATAGCCATTGTCAAATTGTTGTTGCAATTGTCCCTCCAAATGTCAGACTTGTGGTTTATGTCGACCGCCGCACACGCCGCATGATACTCCCAGCCAATGGCAGGCGCGCAGCGGCGGATAACACCAAAGGCAGGGTACGAGCAACGATAGCAAGGTCAAGCCGAGCCAACTGCATGAAAGATGAATGTTATATTAAATATTATTAAAATAAAAACAAGAAAAAACCTTAACTTCGCTTGCACGAAGCAATAATACCCTGCATAAATAGATAATTTTTCATACAAGAAAATGATTTTGATCGTTCAATATGTATGGCAGATATATGCTGTAGACGTCCGATCTGAACAATTTGTTCGGAGATTGTAGCGTTGTTTTGGACAATAATTCATGCCGAATTTAGAAGATTTCCGACTAAGAGAAGTAGTGGTAGTAGAGTAGTGGGGAGAAAAAGATGTATGCAAAATTTCAGATCAGGACCTAGTTCGCCTATTTACAGACAGACGGACATGGCGAAATCGACTCAGCTCGTCACCTTGATCATTTAAGCATATATTTTATAGTAACTTCGACGTTTCCTTCTGGGTGTTACAAACTTCGTGCCAAACTCAACATACCCTGCTCAAGGTATAATTAATCTGTCTCAAACTGCGAAAGAACGGTTTATGTGCACCCGAATTCATTACTTACCGCTTAGTGCAGCCAGCTTCATTGACGCACTGACATGGATGTTGTGGCGTTTCACCCTCGGCATCGCTCATACAATGATACAACATACAACGCGCACAACCCATGCCCGAAATATACTCGAATGCCGAACGAAAGCGATCGGGTGCAAATTCACAGGCACCCTTCCGATTCCATTCGTCATTGTAGAGCTCGTGACAGTAGCGGCAGCGAGCGCGTTGACTCTTCTTAATGATATCCACATTGCTCGTGGGATCTTTGATTATCACACCAGCGGCAATTGGAGAAGATTGAGCAGCCGCAAGTGCTTGTGCAGCTTCCAAAGCATTTCGTTTTTTCAATGCGCTGATCGATTCGCGGCGTGCGTTTAACACTTGCGCGCCAGCCGGCTGATCGACAACCGGATAATTGTAATCATGCACCTGTTGTTCAGGAATCAAAAAAGACAACGTAAAATAAAAATCAAACGAAGGAAGAGTAAATAAAAATAAAGGGTAACGCGAAAGATAGAGTAAAATAGAAAATGGTAACAAAAGATTAGCATTAATGAGACTGCAAGCACACAAAGAAAATGAATTACCGCTGTTAGTTGAACATAGGAGTAATTCTCGCTAGGCGCAATGGCTGTTGGCAGCGATGGCGGTGGCGCTTCAAGTTGACTCGACGAGACTGTGGTGATTGGGGGCGATACGATGGCCGCGCTTACGTTTGTGATAACGTTGCTATTGTTATGACCACCAGTTGACGCGTTGATAGCGGACAGTGAGGGTGGTGGTGGTGGCGTTTGTAGGCTGCATGATTTCTCGTTCGATATGTAGTGAATGGTGGCCTTAGGATGTTGAGTGACAGTACCATCCGAAGATCGGTCCAAATCGCTTTTGTTACTGATGCGTTCACCACGTTCGACACTAATACTTTCTGTTGGAAAAGAGTGAATAAAATATTTGAAGATTTGCACAATTTTTTGAAAACTGTGTAGAAAAAAATGAACCTACTGTGACTTTTTTCGCTGCCTTCGGGACTTGAATGTGACTTTTGTATGCACTCGGCTTCTATAGGTAGATCTAGGGTCTGTGAAAAAAGAAACATATAATATATAAATAGTCCTAATTTTGTTATATGTTATGTATATATTATAACGATTTAATACACACCATAAAAACGTCGTCTTCACCCACAGAGTCATATTTTGTAAGTGGCGGACATATTATTGATGGGTTAGATTTGGCCAGGCCTAAAAAGGTAGAAAGTGGGAAATACCGTTAATATATGAGTATAGTTTTGTAAAAAGAAAATGCTATGTATTACCGTTAAATCAAAATATATACAAACTAAAATAATAAAAAAAAATGTTGAAGCATTACTTATTGATTTACTGCATTGTTAAACATTAAAAAATAAAAAAATAAAAAAAAAAAATTTAAATAATTATTAAAAATACGAATTACGGCGAAAAACTAAACAAAAGTGCTGAAATGTTGTTTAATTTGGGACACTTAGCGTCTTTTCATCAACGTTTCGATAAAAATTGTACTCTAAGCGCCGCATGAAAACATAGATTTTTGGAACACAACAAGGTATTACGGGAGGCCAAAAACTACAAACTCAATACCTTATGCTTTTTATACTAATTTTAACTTACCAAGCATGAAGTTATTAAGGATGATTTTGATTTTAATTTCGTAATACATATTTGTTGTGAAGTTTTTGAATATCGAACAATACGTTTATATTATGGCGAATTAGACAACATTGTGTTGATTTTGTATTTGAATTATTTTTGCATTAATGTATGATAATTTCCAATTATTTTTTGAAGCAGATCAAGAAAGAAAGAGAAAGAGAGAGAAAAAAGCAGTAAAAAGAAAATCATACCAAATGTAGTAAGCAAAAGTGAGTTTAAAAAATTACATTTTATAAAATTAAAGTAAATTTAAGCTTGAGTTTTGTGCCTTTTAAAAAAGCAATAAACTGTGATAAGAAAACATGCGCACACTCAATACATATACGAATGCAAGCACATGATAAACATATGTGTCCGATTATCACAAAGACAAAATATCGATAATCGAATGTACACAGCACGCAAAAAATCAAAATTCATCTTTTCTTTTGAATACATCTCGTATGTGTATGTACTTATATTAGTATATCAATTATATATAGTATGAAAACAAAAAAAAATTACTTGCAAATTTTAAATTGATAAACAGTCATTTTAATTTTATCGTAAATAAATTTAAAATATTATAATAATATTTATGGAATACAAGCAATATAGAGAATATTTAGTGAGCCAATTATATTTTTACCAGAAAGAAACGTCGGACACGCTATAAAATATATTTATAAGTGGCGAGCTCATTCAATTTAGCCAAGTGCGTCTGGCTGTACGTCTGTATAGCGTATAGCTGCCACACAAACTAAACGATTACAATCAAGTTCTTGCAAGGAAAACTTCTTTATTTAACGAGATATCATCACTAAATTTGACATAGATTATTAACTTAAGTTGGCGTTTTTTTTCTTATTTTCTTTGGTGCTAAAACCGCCTGTTTTATAATAGCGCTATTTTAAAAATGCAAATGAAAAATATTTGACAGCAATTACAGTTCGTATACATACATACGTACATTTTGTTTATGTATCTAATTTTATTCTTAATTTATTAGTAATAAATAAATATATATGCATTACAATACACTTAGTAGAGCAAAAATATAAAAGTCAATATGATTACTTAAAATAAGCACACCTAAATGTATTTTTAGACGTGCTTAATGCAGAAAACACAAAATGTTAAAATCTAAACATGAAATTACTACAACAATATGCACTTACTATTTATATGTGTGTAAGTATGCGTAAAGCAAATTTTAATAATGGTAAATTGGGGAAATCAAGCATTAACAAAACAAATGTAGTAAAACAAAATAAATAAAACAAAATTTTAAATATAAACGAAAATGCGCACATATGGTATACACAATTAAGCAAATAAATTGCAAGCATTGCAAATAACAAAGTACGCATAGTATATTGTATATGTGTGTATATATGATTTTTTTATTGTTGTTGTAATTGCTGATGATTTTGATGCTGTTTGTCTCTAACAATTACAATTGCATTGCGCCAGCGAGTGATAATTACCATCAATTAATTCATTGTAGGCGCGTAGTACGCCTTTGTCGAAGGCGCGCGCATCGGCAGCCGTTTGAAAAGTGAGACCATTGCGTTGTTTACCAGCACGCCAGTGATGAAATGTGGGCATCACTTTGTAATACTTCAGATCACGATTTATGACACAGCTTAAAATTACCTAAAATACGAGCAAATTCATATAATTTGAATGGTGTTATTAAAGTTTAACAATAACTGTTAATAGCAACGATATTATTGACACTAATGCATATTTATCGATAAATCAATGATTGAGATATTTACAGATTATTTTAACAAAGCAATTGCTTTCGGTTTGTAAACCTGATTTTAAATCATGTGATTTGAAAAGTTTTAGAATTAATTGTGTTATTTAAAGAATTTGTAATATTATTTCTTAAAAGAATCTTTTATCAATAAAAAAAAATTTTATATTCCTTATTATTACTCACACTTTGATCAGAGATTCTTTGGCCGTAAATGATATATTCATGTCCAGCAGCGCCAGGGGATAGTCTAGCACGTTTGCGTATTGAAACATTTGCTAAACCACCCCCGGCGAGTGGTAACCAACCCTCGGTGCTTTCGTCTCTGGTCATAACCTGTGCGCGTACTGTAACTAAGAAGTCGCTGCAATTAAAAAAAAAACAGAATACAAAGTTTTAGATTAAATATTTATTTATATACAAGTATAAGCTTCAATAAAATATCGATTAATCGCTAACGAATGCTATTTTTGTATATTTATTAAGGGGTTATATCTACTTGTGCATTTAAAATAATTGTTTTTTTTTCATGTATAACAAATGTAAACATATTGGAGAATATTCGCCAAAAATACGAAGTTGACACGGCAAATAGTTTCGGAGATATGAGTGTACCATATTTCTAAAAAAATTAACTCAAACCCAAAACTTTTAACGAGTTTTTCTCGTAACGCTGTCAGAGTTGGTAATTCCTGGCTCTGAAAGAACTTAATCGCAAGCGTTAAAAATAAATCAGTTGCCATCATATATAGAAAACCTGTTATACAAATGTTCACCTTCGTAAGATGATACAATTAACTAAATACACATTAAGAACGGACCAACAGGCTAAAGTCATCCAATCATTCGTGCGCAGAGAATTTGCATTACGTTCGCATAAAAACAAAGTTAAAAAATTATGAAACGAAGGACTTTTAAGTGTATTAAAGTCGCAGCTGCTGTTAAAAATAATAGTGTTGCATAGCAAAAAAAAAATTATAGACAACCTTCAACAAATGCAAACAGCAGTCAGTTTTTATTGTAGCTGCGTCCTTCCATTGGCTGCACGAAATGCTTCGCAAACATGTTCGGAGCACGGAGCAAAAGGTGTGCAGCAAAGCAGATGAACAGGTGGTAGCGCTAAAATGCTGGAGCCAAACAAGTTATTGGCAAAACTATTGGCTACTCTTGTTGTTTTTTGGAGTTTCGGAGTTTGCGCTGAAGTGTGCACTTATGTATGTACTGGTGTCTGCACGACTTCCTGTCGCTTTCGTGCGTCCTGCACAAACTCGAAATACAGTGTATGCGCAACTTCAAAACTCCCAAGCTGCGAAAACCTTCTTATTCACACGATTACTCCACGCTTGTATAGAGAGGTGTAGAGAGAACGGAAGTATGCGGTATTGCGCAGCAGCAAAAAATAATAAATTAAATTGCTGCAACTTTATGAATGGAGTTTTCATATGTACATATACTTTATACAGCAGAGTTCCATTGGGTTAGCTTGGCACTCGCAAGTGTTTCTCTACCACTATTTTAGTACAAGTAATTTCACTATTGTCGCTTCAAGGATTTTTATGACGTTCTTTCAATGTTACTTCAATGTTGACATTGTGGCCATATTCGCTGAATGAAAAATGAAGTTTTTGCAGGCGTTGGTTATGAATGGAGTTTCAGTTTATTGAGAAACCCTGTCAACAAAAAAAAAAGAATACTTCAGCTACATATACCATATGTATACGGAAAAATGTGTGGATATATATGTAGGTAAATATGTGGTTGCTCACACCAATGTCTGTACATATTTATACCCTGAACAGGTTATATTAAGTTTACCACGAAGTTTGTAACACCCAGAGGAGACTCTTTGAAGTATATACATATGTATATACATATATGTATAAAAATAAGTTCTTGTATGATGTAGATAAAACCGAAAATGACTTAGTCATTAAAAGAAATAATTGTATATGTATATTTTCTAAAAATTACTTCTATCTAAACACTTAAAAAAACGTTTTGATCACGTCCAAAATATAAGCATATATATTTTAAATTAATTTTTTTATGTTTAGTATGTAGTATTTTTAATAAACACAAATTTTTAAAAATTACGAGGTACATTTTCTTCAATTATCCTGAAAAGGTTTTTCTAACATTCTACTTAATGGAATTTTTCTTGAAAGTAAGTAGATAATATACATTGCAAACAAGTGTTTTGTAGAGTATTAGAGGCCAAATTTTTGTCGAATTTGGTATTGTCGTCTAGCGGATATTATTTTCTAAAGAATAAAAATTACATGCGAAATTTATAATAAGTGAAATATGCAATTTCGGGCGAATTTGAAATCAATGAGATTAAAGTGTTATACTTTGAAAATTTATTATAGTGATTTTTAATTTAACATTAACGTTTTTACTGTTGGTGATAATTAACAACACTACTCCGCTTTTTAACTTTTTTAGCATAAAAACTAAAGCAAAATGTATACAAAGCTTAGATGTGCGAAAAAAATTGCAAAAAAAAAAATAATAATTTATTTTTATACGTGCATAATTCTTGCAGAATTATAAATAAAAAGAAAATATTTACTTAACTGTTTGTAGTGTATTTATACATTTTTCCCCTTTCAGTAACGGCAACCCCAAGTTATAACCGTATTTCATTCTTTACAACAGTATCCAGTGTATAAAAGTGTTTATTTTGCAATGTACATACAAATTAAGCTAAATATTCACGCAATATATTGCTTATAAACACATACATCACCACATATAGCAAATAGAAGGCGTGTACCTAGGCAATGTCCCTGATAATGCTGTCAATGCCAAGCGAACAGGCAGTAAAGGTATTGCTCAATGATTAACTATGTGAATATGTATGCATGTATATACAAACATACTACATACATAGAAGCAAGAATGGGCTAGCCGCTTGGCGTTGCTGAGCTCATCATAACTTCATGGTCACAAACTCAGCCGATACATACTCCTATATAAATACATACATACCGACATATGTATGTGAATTTTGGAAATGGGAAACTATCAATGGAAATTACATGAATGAAAAAATTGTTTAATGTAATTCCATGTAAAATATAAAAATAAATGTATACACAACATATACATATGTGATATGAAAAACTACCAAAATACATTTTTACATATGTATAAAAGTTTGAAAAAATTCGTAAGCAAAGAAAATAATATTTAGTTGCTGTTATGCTTTGCAAAACCTAATATATTTAATTATTATTATTAATTACGACAAAGGTACAGAAAAATATTTAAATATTCAAAAATGTTTGCAAAAGTTAAATCGAAAAAATAATTCTGACAGCGGTGGGATTCGAACCCACGCCCTTTCGGACTGGTGCCTAAAACCAGCGCCTTAGACCGCTCGGCCACGCTGCCTCTTGCCATTTTATTGTCCAATATCGCTCTTAAATTTACACTATCCCATGACGAGAACTTTACACTCATAATTATACAAATTGGTCGCCGTTAGTGAGAACGAAGGTCACTCACTACAAACGAATGCATCGCCTACAAACGAACGCTATTGTGAATGACTGCCTTCTATAAAGCTAATGCCGGAGAAATTCATTCACGATATGCTACAGAACGAATGAATGAATGGTACATACATAGATACATGTGTTGGAAGGAGGGAGTTGGGGGTACTTTTGATGCATCTATGATGAGTTACATATACATACATATGTATGCGCTAGCATATAAGTTTATGTTGTTTATGTATTTTTCTTTTATTTGTGCAAAATTTCAGATCTATAACTCAGATATTGGGAGACTAGCCCGCATATATAAAGATAGACGGACAGACACACATGGCTAAATCGACTCAGCTCGCCACTCTCATTATTAATGTATATTAATTCACATATGTACATACATATGTATGCATTTTAAAGTCTCCGTTGGGTTATACAGCTCTGTATCAATATACGTTCTTAGTGAAATGCTTGGGTATTATTTTACGCTACATTAGCAATCTTCCATTAGCCAAATCATGCAGAGTGGCAAATCGAACAAGTAACTGGTATAAATCATATAGACTGGCACAACCAAATGGGAATAAGGTAGCGAGAGGTTATACCATTTTAATGAATTATACCTAATTCGTTGGTGCTCTCACACGTCCTTATTTTGTTTTTAATAAGAACAGAGAGAAGTGTCGGTTCGAAATTTTTCTTTTTAATTATTTAGTCGAAGATTGAAATGTAATTTATTTTAAGCGCACACTTAATTTTTCAATCAATGCCAACATTATTTTCTATTTCTCTTAATTAAATATTGCTATTTTTGGCAAATAATGAAATCTTCTCAACATCCAACTCAACAGCCTCTCACAAATAAAATCAATAATATTGTTTGAGGGCAAAATAGTGTGTTGCCAGAATGCTGCCTACAAAGTTAGAGCAATTTGGTAGAGTTAACACCTTTTTAAATATGTCGGTATGTACACAATTATGAATTGACTGAATAAATTTCCAATAGCTCCACATACACCTACATACATACATATATTATTTAAGTATATACTTGTACATCAGTATCTACATTCATGTATGTACAAATATACACGTCCGGCTGGTTGATTGCAAATGTAACAGCGTTAGTGGGTAGCGGAAAAGGCTGGCAATCCAGTCAGCCAGCCAGCCAGCCAACAATTGTAACGCCAATCCAACCAACCAGCTAAGTTAAATAAGTAGTATGTTATATGAAGTGCCACTATCAGCGGCCCAGCCTTTTCTATATACATAAATTCAACACACCTACACAAAAAATTTTATATATATATTTACACTCCCATACATATGTACGTATGTAAATCGCCACACATGTGTTATAGGCGTTGTATAAGGTTGGACGGACAAACCGATGGGCGAAGGAAAAATGACAAGTAGATTAGTTGTTGATAAAATATACAGCGAGACAGGACAAATAAACGAATCTAGGTTACCTGCCTTTATTATGAATGGAACCATTTATTGAATGATAATGACGAATACAAAGAACGGCATGGTATGCTGTATTTATGTATGTACTTTATAAGTTAAGTGTGTCATAAAGCAAATTTATAAATAAAAATGTAAACTAACATGTGTGTGGTTACAGTAAAAACTTTTATTGTGCATATTGGAACGTCCTCAAAAATAGTTATTTCTTCAAGCCAATGGATTTCTTAGTATCAATATAGTGTAAAAACTACCGTGTTGTTACTTTTTGGAGATTTTTTGACTAAGAGAACTTGGTTCTTGAAAAAATTCTTTGTTGATCTATGATTCTATTAAAAATGACTATGTTTTTCTCAAATACTATCAGTAGACCACAGGGAAGTCTCCGTTGAATTAGCGTACA